TGAGGCAGTTCTGAAGGCAAAAGGGGGTCCAACCCGTTACTAGCATGGGGTACCTAATAAAGTGGCCGGTGAGTGTATATTAGATCTTTTAACAGAAGTTTTACAGGTTTTAGGAAAATCTTATGTTTTCAATATTTCTTAGGATTTGAAAAAAAAATTTCACTTTAAATTTAGAGATAAAAACCTACATTACTTCAGACAAAGAGAGTAACACTGAACCTGCAATAATCCTCTGGGCCTCGAACGGCTCCATGTAGCTGCAGCAGTCTGTTGGTGACGATTTCAGCTCCCTGTTCGGTTTGGCTCTTGGGTCTGGACGTGCATCAAAGGGATCAGAGTAATCGGTTTCACCATCTGATGCTGCTGGGGCAGAAGGAACCACCTTTGTGGGGAGTCAGTCCAAGCATGGTACATATCAGTGTTACAAAATAGAGGGAACGTGTAAGTTAAGGAAGACAATGAGAGCTGTTCCAGAGAAGATATGGGAATGAATGGAAAAAAATAGGTAAGGGAATAAGAGGTGAAGGGAGAAAAAAAGAAAAGAAATAGAAAAAAAAGAAAAAGAATGAAGCATAACTGAAAAAGTTAAATGCTTACAGGCTCTTTGTGAACAGTCACTGGACTGAGAGGAATTTTACAGCGGCCAAATTCCTGAGAGTCCACTTTAATTAGTCTGTGTTTTGGAGACACAACTTTCACCTGAATATAAATGAAAATAAATAAAAGAAAATTACTGTGTAGGTTTTTAGAAAAAAAAAGACATAAAAAAAATCTCAGTGTAAACAATCAAAAAGAAGAGTTAAAAGATGCGATGCTTTTAAAAAAACAAACCGAGCTTATGCACAGACACCGAGGTGCTGACATCCTACCTCTACACAGTCAGACAGCACAGAACCAAACGCAGGGAAAGAGGGGAGGCTCACAGTCGTGCTACAAGAGCTAAATCCGCCATTCTGATGCTCCTTATCAGAGTGTTGGTAGGGATCCTCAAAATCCCGCTCCTTCTGAGCTCTGTAGGCCCTTAGTATCTCACTCTCAGTGTAATCTGGCCTGGGGGGCTGCGGAGGATCACGCCTGCTGCCTAGGTTTAAATAATCCTTCAACCACTTTGCCATGGATCTGTGGATAAAAGAGGGGAATGATAACAATGGAAACAGTGGAATATCAAAAGATGTCATATCACTAACATATTTTCATGGCTTGTATCTATTGGTAAGGCTTTGCTTCTATGCTTAAAGTTAGTTTTAATAACAAAAAGTTAAGTCAGAAATCACTGCCTTCCCACACTGTCTCCACTTGCATCTGAGGCCTAACAGCAACATTCCTTCTTTTTATAAAAAACTTTGACTTCAAAGCTTATTTCCACTGGGGAAAAGAAAGAAAATTAAGAAATTAACCTTTTACATCTTGCAAAATGTGCAATAGAATGATGCTGCGCCCCAAAATGTCCGAAAAATGCTTCTGCAACTAAAAATTAAGCTTTCTGAGATAAGGCGATCCTATCTGGGGATGAGGTCGGCAATCTTTTTTTTTTTAAAGCAAGGCGGTATTCTAGGAAATTATCTATGTGCAGATAATGTTGTGCTGCGACAGTGTTGCAAGCTGTACCCAAAATAATACACTGGCTTGTTGTTGCATACATACTGTTCACATAGTTCTTTTTACAGCACTTCAAGATGGATCAATAAAAAAAACAACTGAGTTTCAACTGAGAGTTTAAGCTGTTTTACAAATAAAAAAAGCAGAAATCTCAGCATGGACATATATCCATATTTGGAGCATTAACTTTACTCAAGCATAGTTGTAACAAGTGTTGAGTTGACTATTTTTTAAATGTGCCATATTTGAGTGCCCCTGCAGGACACCGTAGACATACAAACAGCCATAACCACAACTATATTAGACAAAGAAGTGATTAATGCAAACCTAATGATGTTTTCTAAATAGCGGACGAGGAGTTTATCAGCCTATGAATTGAGAAAAACAAAAGTTTTAATGGCTGCTGCAGTCAAGATCTGAATAAATGATAGCAAACAGATTCTCAGAATTTTGATTGAATTTCTGGTTGTAAACCACACACACACACATGCATATATATAGATTAGGGATGGGACGATTTATGAAAACCGTCCGAACTGTTCAGTTCGACTGTCTCGGTTCGGTTCNACAGCTGATCGCTCTCCACATACGTCCGTTTCCGACAATTTGTGGCACGACAAACGCAGACAAGCACGGGTTGCAAATTGTCGGAAACTGACAAAAATCAGGCAGATCTGCGGGAGTTTACGGGGGTTTACGGGGACGAAAATCTCACTTTTCATGCAGTGCCAAGGATCATCCGCAGTCTGAGTAAAACCCATCCGCCCAACACCAAACAAGACAATCACTGAAACATTCTACACAGACTAGATTCAATAAAGGACACCTTTTTCTGGAGAACTGAGTCTGCAACCTATTCCTCCAATTCAAGTCTAAGAATCTAATTTCCCACTGAGCCTGAACTAACCGCTGTGTCTTCCCCTCACCTTCCAGTTCCATTGACAGTGTTCTGAGCAGCAGTGGATTCGTCACCATATTCTAATAAACCTTTCCGTGGTCTGTCTTTTTGGTCTTCTGCATTTTGGGGTCAGACCTTAATTAAATCATGACAGACTTGTCATGTTATGAGCATTTAAACACAGCCAGTGTGACGAGTTTGCATTTATTAGTCAACTCATACCTTAGTTTGTTTCTAACTCATACCTACCGCTATGGTTTTTTAATATCTGCGGCAGTTTTTTCCACATGCTTCTCTCCTGTGGATCTATGTTGTTTACCTGAAATTAGTCCGCTTTACTGGCAATTCAATGCCTCTTTGTTAGTTCAGAGCTTCAGAGCAGAAAATTAGGATGATTCTAAGGGCCCCTGACTGAGGGGGGACCCAAAAGAAGAAGAAAAGATTTGTCCCGCTATATTTTCAAATATAAAAAGTGTATCCAGCAGTAAAATAAATCTTCTTCTTTTGGTACTTAAATGCCCCTAGCACGTCATTTGACGTAGTGAGAACCAAAAAAACAAATAAGAAAATGTTTAAATAAGCAGCATAGTGGTAAAAACGTCAGCGGCTGAAAAATGCAGCGCCCTAAAGTCTGGGTTTCAAAAAGGAACGGAAAGGAAGGAGAAAGAGGAGAGAGGGAGAAGATGTCTGATACCAGGAGCCAGCTTTTCCCCTCTCTTTTTTTTCAGTGAAGTTTGTTTTACTGAATAGATTAAAATAACAATAGATTATTAACCTATTGAGTAAAAAAGATCTGCTGGATACAACTACTCAGTTATTCTTGTCAGGTTTATTCGATGATGATTATAAAATTAGTGCATGTGCATATGGAACTATAAAAAATGAGATGCTTAACTCTGTTTACTGCAAACTGTCATGCAACTCTGGTAGAAAACTGCTGATGTTTGTGCAAGGATAATCACAGTTATCGGAAGACCGCTCTATTCTGTGATTCAATCAAGAGGAGCATTTTGTCCTATGACCCGATCAATTGCCTTGTCAGAAGAATAAAAGGCTTCTGCTGAGGACACCCACCAGAGAGCAGATGTGGCTGAACGTGGCTCTCTCCTCCTGCAGGAGCCAAAAATCCCTATTCTGTGCGGACTCAGTTTATTTATCATGAACCTACAATTTTGAACGTAACATTTTGGTGCTGAAACCCGGGAGTCAAGATCCAATTGTCCAGGACCGTGTGGGACCAAGGCCAAGAATCTGTCGACAGCCATCCTCCCTTCACCGGACGGGGCCAGTTTGGTCCAGCCCTGCCCTGGGCATCCTGGTGACGACTCCCTCTGAGGACTGCTCTACACAGCAAAGAGTAGGCCTAAATCTTTTGATCAAAAGTTTGGTCTGGGACCATTTAAGTTACAGCTGTTATTGCAAGAATATTTGACGAGACCAAGTCTTGTTGACGGATGTGGCATCTGGGTATTCTGTGCGTTTGAGTCTGGGACTCTGTGTTGTTCTCGAGGTAGTAAGGTTTGCAGCTGCCGCAGCAGGGATATTTGATGAAACCAAGTTTTGTTGACAGATGCGGCATCTGGGTATCCGGTGCGTGCGAGGGCCTGGAGCTGGAGACTCCAAAGTGTACACGATAGGTGTTTTTTGTCTATGTTGGTTAAAATAAAAAAAATATAATAGGCCTTAGGATAGGTGTGACTGTGCAAGTGTGTGTGAGAGTGTGTGAGGAAACAATCGAACCGTTGGGTTCTGTTGTTTCATATTAACAGAGCAGGGGTTTAATACAGTACAGCTCTTGTGGATGCAGAGGCAAGAATTTCTCACCTGAAAAGGCAGAAGCAGAAATTATCACAACAGTTCTTGGGTACTGTCCTGCTGAATGAACATCCGGTGCGTAGAATACCCTAGGTATTCTAAAGTCAGTGTTACTGATGTTGCCCCAGCTGATCACTTTTCTGTTACCTTTGAGGGCATCATTTCCAGTGACTCATTTAGCCAAGGGACATCATAAGAAAACGCACCTTTAAGGAAAATGCCACAGAAACTTTTATTCAAGCTTACTCTGCTACTTCAACCTTGGGGTGCAACTCAGTAGAAGAGCTAGTAGATAACTTTCAGTCTAAAGTCTCAGACATCATTAGCTGCATTGCTCCAATTAAAGTGAAAGTCTTTTCCGGTAAGAAAAAAAATCCTTGGAGAAGTGCTCCAGCAGTTAGAAGTGAAAAAAGGGAGTGC